GTCCGAGAAAATTTAAACCGTTTGTCTCGGTACGAGTTGCCGAAATCCAAGAGACAATCGACCCTCAGGAGTTCAGCTACATCGGGTCTGAACATAATCCAGCTAACGCCTTGACGAAAAGAATTCTCCCGGAACAGCTGGAAAAATGGTCTCAAGGACCACAGTTCCCAAGAGAGCGGCAAGAAGAGTAGCCCAGATTTGAAGAAAATGCGCTGAAACCTAGAGCTGGGATGTGGAATTGGGTGGCAGGAAGAATTAAGAGAAAATCCTCTCTTTGAACATTTAACGAGAACGTGTTCAATATTCTCAAGGGCCAAAAAAAACCTTAGCTTACGTACTAAGATTCCTCAACAACACAAGAATGAAAACGAAGAATATAGATCCAGTTTCGCCAAAAGAACTGACGGAGTCAGAACTTAGGTTGATCAAATGGTGCCAGCAGACGATTGACGTCGACAAGCTAGACAAGAAGCTTATTCCGTCAAAGGGCGGGCATGGATTACTACGCGCGCGTGGAAGATTGGAGAACATAAGAACACTTCCTGATAAAATGCGCAATCCTATTATTCTCCTGAGGTGTCATCAATTGGTCGAACTGTTACTCGAACACCTAATCGAAAAACGAGCACACTGCAGTTACAAGAGCCTCGTATACGATTCAAGAAAGCGATTCTGGATTGTGAGAGTACGTCACATGGCAAAACATTTAACAGGAAAATGTGACTTGCAAAAAACTGCCAAAGAAGCCATTAGAGCAGTTAATGGGCCAGATTTCTAAAATACGCCTAGCGGCAGGGTTAACAGCCTTTAGTGACACAGCAATCGACATGTTTGGACCTCTAAAGATACGACTGGGACGGAAAACGTTGAAGGAGCCACATGCAATTACATTCACTTGCATGACGACCAGAGAACCTGCACGTGGAGTGTCATGCACTACTAGGAGTATGTATGTGAAACACCACGTGAAAAACGTGTGAAAAATGTCCTATTTTCACACTCTTTTCACACATTTTTCACACGTCTTTCACACACTTTTCACATGCATTTCACACACATATTTCACGTGCATGTGAAATTTTGCATGGTGAAATATATGTGAAAAGGGTGTGAAGCGACGTCATCCCTTTCACACATATTTTCACATACACTTCACATGGGGTTTCACACAGGCTTTCACATGTAAATCCTCATTTAAATTCACACATATTTTCATACACTTCACATGGGGTTTCACATGGGCTTTCACATGTACTTAATCCTCAATGAATGGCAAAACATCTAGAATTTCACATGCTACTAATTCACACATTATTTTCACATACACTTCACATGGGGTTTCACATGAGCTTTCACATGTAAATCCTCAGAGATCGGAGATCATGAATGGCAATAGAATTTCACTACCCTATCAGCAGAGGTTTGTTTACACGTAAACAAACCAACTACGCGACAGAAAAGTCACACAAACGACTTCGTGAACGCAAAAAGCCATGCAAGAGAGAAAACTCTGCTTGCAGGGCAGAATTTCCTATACCACTTCACACAAATTGGGCATATTGTCTCACAAGCAAATATTCAGTAAATCAACTAGCTAGCTTAGATCAATTTACACACAAATTTACATTTGCACTCTCCGTTTGCAATAAATTTGTCTGAAGTACTGTCAACTGCATGCATGGTTGAGTTTTCACATAGTCACAAACAACTTCAGTTTTATAGCCTGATCTGTTGGTTTATTTATAATTTTATGGTATTTTCAGAAGAACTTGATTTATATAAAACTGGCAAAAAGTGAAAAGCAAACTGGATAGAATTGATTGGCAAAGGAAATTGGTTTCATATTGTCACCATGGTGAAACTCAGTTCAACTGACTCACATGTCCCAAAATGAACTTAAATGTAAATTTAAGTTACTCAAAAAAGGCACATAAGGCTAATGGAAACATCAATGTCTAATCCTGCTTATTTGTCAATATTTATTGCCTGGAGGTTAATAATAAAAACAAAACTTTTTATCATGCTCAGTTTTTATACCTTTAATTCCTACATCAATAAAATAACTTATAATATACTAATTTTTGGTTAGAAATATTTCTTATAAATTGTAATAATTATGATAGTAAATGACATAGTGGCCAATTTACAATTTCCACTTATTAAGGAATACCAAGTTACAGAAAAGCAATCTAGCACTCAATGTCAGTGAAAAGACAAAGTAAATAAACAACTTTGAAAAATACAAGCATGTTTATGGAAAAAAATAATGCTAACTGACTGCTTCTTTCAAAGTGGCTGAACAGCTTTCTGAACTGAAGGTCCACACATCAGACTAGATAGAGCTGCCTTTTATTTTTGACCTTATTGCAGATGTATGAATATTATGAATCGAAGCTCAAATAAACAAACCTACTCAAATTTTATAGGTTTAGTTCAACTCTCAAGTCATTATAAATTAACTGGAAACTTAATTGCTTCCAACTTGTAGTATACATTGCATGCATATCGGAAACATATGCTATTTCTTCTCCTATTTTATTTAAGATCTAGACACGTTGTTTATTTAACACTGGTCTTGACAAGTCTGCCACAGCCTACTAGCGTCAGAACATAAAATTTTCAGAGTATTCCATTGACGATTTGCAACAAAGAGTACAGTTTTTTCTGCAGTAAACAAAAAGGAATCAATCAATGGCATATCTGTGCATGCATCTTAAATATAAGATGTATCTTTGAAGGTTTAAGCCTACGCGAAGTTATTAGAAAACCAAAGTAAGCTCTTGTTAACGAACCACGATATCAAGAAGAACATACCTTTCTGCAATAATCCAGCTGAGTTGCTGACTTGGAAACATGCTTTTTGTGAAGAATTTTGCAATTGATCACTGTCTCTCGAAAATAACAATGGTATTTGAAAGACAGTCTTTCTATCTATCTATCCGAAAATAACGAAAGTATTCTGTTCGCATCGCTGTGTTGCTTGTGAAGTCCGCGTGAATTTGAACTATTCAACGGAACTTCATTTTACAATTTTCTATTGGTTGAAAAGCCGCACGTGACAATGTAAATCAAATCGCGCATGTGCTCAAATCACGGGAAAGCCTGGAAACAACTGAAACATGGCGGCTAATCTTGCGATGGAGAACGTGCACTCGTTTGAGTCGAAAACGCGGTTATTTTCAGCATTGATTAGAATATTCCAGTGCATTTGAAGTGTTAGAAGCAAGAGAAAAACTTAACATTGTTCCTTCACATTGGGAAACCTTTGAGAATTTAAGGAAATGCTGGCCTCCACTACATGAATCTAAGTTGCGACTAAATACGTGTTGTCCCGTGTCGTGGACGTTGTTCATGTTGGATAAGCTCAGGTACAGAAAGCTGATTGAACCAAAGACAACTTGAGCAAACCAAGAGCATGCCAGTTGTTTGCTTCAATGAATCATTAGTTGAACGAACGGTATCAAAAGAAAACTCAAAAAGCATGCAAAGCAAGGAACTGTTCGCATGTTCAAGTGACTTTTCAACGTCACAACGAGGAACGTTACAGTAAGAAACAAAACATTCATAAAGTGTAGTTACATATGTCGTATATGTTAACAAAGTAAGTTTTCTGATGGAGTAATAAAGTTAAGTCCGTTTTGTCCTCAATGAAGATCTGTTGAAGGAATGGTTTAATTCTCAGGATTTAGCCCTCCCCGCTTAACAAAAATCATGGTACACATCTTTCTGGGTGGAAACTCAAGTGGTAAGATACACAACCCACAAGTTTAGATGAGACAGTTGATAAAATACATAAATTTATATAGCATGTTCTAGCAAACAATGAAGACAATGATATTTGTAAAGATGCTCATGTGGATCAGATACTTGAAAGGTTTTAATCAAGCCAAATAAAATCAAGAATGTACAGTGTATTCAGGGGTTTCAAAATGTTTTGAAGTAGGCGCCAACTCTGGAAAAGCAGGCGGCTGTGACAATCGAGATTGTCACAAGCTAATTGTTATGACCAGCGCAGCCAGCGATATACAGTCGAGTAGCCGGCAGAACTCTAGTCTCCGGCTTGTTTTGAAACCCCTGTGTATTTAATAATAATTAATACAGTTATTGACTGAGAGATCTGGTTGCAAGCTAGTTCATGAAAAGAGCTTTAAACGTTAATTCCAGTCCGCTGCTTTACAAGAGGGCCCTTCTGGGGCTTGGCACTTTGGTATATTGGGGTTCGCCTTTAATGGTGATGATGATCATGATTTGTAACAGCACGTTTGTTGTGATCACTTGCCTTAAAGGTCTGACGCATTAAGGTATAGTGAATTTTCTAGGTTAGTAACTTATCAAATCTTATTCTTCAAAAATTCATGACCCTCATAGTCAACTTAGTTTGATATTTATCAGCTATGAGCCATAGAATGCTATGAGCCATGAAATGCCTTTCATGGGGTATTCACTAGAAATTCATGGCATTTTCATAAAAATATGGTTCATAGTGGTTGCATTTAACAAGCCCTGAAAAAAATTCACATGCTCACTCTGAAATGCCTAAAAGTGTTCACATGCATGTGAAAAATTTTACATGCATAGCATCTATTATGCATGTGAAATTTGAAGTTCACAAGCATGACAAAATTGTTTCACATGTATGAAAAGATTTCACATGTAATAAAATGCATGGAAAAAAAGTTCACACATATGACAAAAATTTTTCACATGTATTACAAAATTTCACATGCATATCAAAAAGTTCACATGCATGTGAAATGCTGATGTGGTGAACTTGTATTTTTTCCAACGTTGATTTCACATGGTTCCTTTTTTTCACACACTTTTCACACCCTTTTCACACGATTTTCACACACATAGCCCTATAGCCCTAGTAGTGATGGCGGATGGCAGCGTGAAGTAGGTTCTGTAATATCGATGATATGGGTGAAGTCAAGAGGCTTAGATAAGAAAATCTAAGGCTGAAGGATCAAATCCAAGCTTTATCCAAAGAGGTTGAGCAAATGAAACTTTTGCTTCAACAGAGTTCCATACAATTAGCGGGTGAGCCACCAACAACCGCGAACGCTACTCCGAGTCGTGAAGGTGAGAAGAGCTTAAGCTTCCTTAGCGATAAGCACGATGAATTGATTTTGTTTAGAACAAATGCAATGGCCGAACTAGAGCGACTCGGTAAGAAGATTGAAGCTGTTAATGAAAAAGTCAAAAACATCAGTGAAGCAATAGAAAGCATGGAAAATTACAGCTACCAATATAATATAAAACTTGTTGGATTCCCTGAACTCTACGAACATGAATCGGCGAATGACACCGCGAAACTGTGCCTCGAAATCTTTAAAGCCATCGGCGCAAGTGAATTGACTGGTTAAGATATTGATATCGCTCACCGTGTCCAATCAATAAGTGATATTGGGCCCAAACCAATTATCTGTAAATTCGTTCGAAGATTGGCGAAGGAAAATGTTATGAACCACCGATGAGAAGTGGAAAGTATTTCTCCCTCTACTCTGGGGTACAGTTCGGAAACTTCTTTGGAGCAAGCCAAGATTTATGATCACTTAACACCAAGATTACAGCACCTCTTATCAGAAGCAAATAAATTCAAGACAGCGCATCAATTTCAGTATTGTTGGGCGAAAAATGGCCAAATTCTTCTTCGCAAGACGCACGAATCTAGAGTGATCAAGCTGAAGTCAGTTGAAGACTTGAGCAGGCTAACGAATAGTCTGGAACTTGAGTGAGATTATCTTGCAGAGCTAAGTACCTGATATTATTTTTTTATTCTGATAAATCTAGTTAAATCTAGAAGAGATGGCTTCCTGTAAAAAAAAAAACAATTTAAAGGAAAGCTTAACACATTTGCCTTATTATAATTGCAAACATATTCCGTCTGTTCATGGCAGATTTAACAACCTTTTAGGTGACAATTTACATTCAAAGAAAACCCTGGAGACGCTGCATAGTCTTTATGATTACGATATCTTTAACATGAATTCATTTAATACGAACATTGACCCGGATTTCAACTTTTTAGAACCAAGAAAGCGATACCGATATTTCTCACCTCACAGCTTTGCTGAGACTATTAAAAGTAAAATAAATCAAAATCACCGGAATTGTATCTCTATTCTTCACAGTAATATAAGAAGCCTTAAGAGAAATTTCGAACAGTTCCATCAGCATGTACTTTCTGAATTAAAGGGCATGTAAACCCAAAAATGCTACCATTTTGTTTGATATGAATTGAATGTATACCGAAAGTACTTCATAAATCTTTTTTCCTTTTTTCGATACAAGCGCATTTTGACCCGAGATATCACCTCTGAAAGTTCACTTCGTCCGCCATTTTGATTCCGCCATCTTTGTTGTGACGTCACGAGTGGAATCTCTTCCCCTTTGGAAGTCAAAAACATCTTTGGGACCTTTACAAGCACGTGTGTTGTCTAGTTTCCTACAAGAATATTTTTTAGTTTTGACATTGGTAAAGCGGTGTGTCGTTGGATCTTGTAATAACTCGAACAAGACAGGGCATTCTACTCATTTTTTTTCCAAAAGAAGAAAGAATTCGGCGTCAGCGGATCCAAGTTAAACGTGCAGACTTCTTACAGCCTACAGAACACTCCATAATCTGTGGCGTTCATTTTGCACACGAATGTCTCGAGGATGATGCGATGGTAGAAATGGGACTCAAAGATAAAAAAATCAATTTGAAAAGCGATTCGGTCCCCACAATTCAGCTCCAGCGACCCGAAGCATTGTCCGAAGCGCGCAAATTAGCGGACTATGGAGAGCGAGGAAAAAGAAATACCGGCGACTGCGAGTCACACTCCTGGCAAAAGGTCACGAACAAGACGAGCTGTGCAAAAGTTATCAGTTTCTAGGGTAAGTAATAAGCCAATGTAATAATTAAGAACGATTTTTTTCATTAGGTCAGTATTAACCGTTCCCCTTCCTCAAGTATATTCAACTATTTTCACAGTTATTGGCCGATAATAAACGTGCCTCCGTCGCTGCGAACGCCGTCACGTCAGCTTCTGAGTATATGCCCGTCGACACTGAAACAAGTGCTGTAGTTGCTCTGATGAAGATGTGACATCTCCCATTAAGAGGTAGCAGTTCAAGGTGATATTCTGCACGAAACGTCTATAGGTAAAGGTAGGTTACGCTTAGACATAATCTTACCTCGCTTTTTTCTTTTCCCCTAACCGATTATCTAATGTAGAATCTCTATCCAGCAGCAGCAGGCACACAATTAGAACCCTTGAGAGAAGATTTTCAAGTGCAGTGCGACCTTATTACAGCTCTTTTAAGCACTAGTACACACCAGAATGCAGCTCTGTTAAAAGTCTCGGAGGACGCAGCGTGGACGATGACAAAGATTTCGATTATGTTCCACCGACTGATTTGTCTCTTGAGGAAGTCGAGGACGACATTGAAGAATATGACGGGAGTCCGTCAAGTACTACACACTGGTTATATTTTTGAAGAGATATCGCACTTTGTTTGTTTGCTTTTTTTTCTTATTTTTCGCTGATGGTTTTCACTTTTTATTCGTTAAAATATAGGTTAATTATTGCAGGTTTCTGGCTTTAAACCAGTGTAGGAGGTGCCAAAATCCGCAGGAAATCTTTGGCGTATTTTGTTTACTGCGCTGGAAGGGAGCGCCACTCTTACTTTTCAGCAAAGATAACCCCAACACCATCGCACAAGTTGGCGATAAGCGATGTAGCAAAATTTTCTAGACACGAACGAGTGGAAAAATGTTGGAATAAATATATAACTACGAACATGCAGTCATATATAAACTGTTCATAATTTTTTTTATGTATATAGTGAAAATTTCAGAACTAGTAAACATACTCGTGCCCTCTATGACTGTCTGTGCCATGTTGTTGCCTATATGCATAATACGCCGTTTCAAGGACCCACACATCCAAGCAAGTAGACTGGAATCCTCGATGTTCCGTTATACAGGACATTTGGACCTCCGTTTGCTCTTCAATTTTTTGCCATATTTGCCCTATTTCATGGCAACATACGCTTTCGGGTACTGAAGGCATCGGCTAACACATTTCACACTCACACCTAAACTACAATAAAAAAAAGTAAGGACCCCTTTCATAATGGCTTGAGTTCACCCTAGTCTCATGATAAAATTACTCCAAAATAAAGGCAAATTAGGTATAAGCAATACAATTTAAGTCACCAGACGATCCGTCTCACTTTCGGTTTCGTCCTTATAATACGGCTTTGTTGTTGTTGTTGTCCATAATCTCGTTGAACTCTGCGAGGCTCGTAACGACAGGGACGCGGACCTGTGTCTTCAGGAGGCTCTGAAGTTTCAGCTACATCGCTGTCTTATAAATTTAAGTCGCAAAAATCACTTTCGTCTGATGAATTCTGCTCTGAACTATCCGAACTCTCGCTTATTGCTCGAGCCGCCATAGTGATAATCAAGTTGCGCAATAGACTGGTTCCACTCGTTACGTCACAGGTAATTTCATATTGTTAACCGGAAGTTAATCTGCTGTAGAAAACGCCGTGTTTTCGCCTTAGGAGCATCGAATTGGCAAAAACTAATAGCAAAATCGTTTTTAGAATACTTTTTTACATATAAGGGGATAAACTTGTATTTTTGGGTTTACATGCCCTTTAAAAGTAAGCTTTAGTGTTATAGGACTAACTGAAATTCGAATCCGTAAACAAGCATGCCCCAATGAAAACTCTCTCCAAGCGCAGGGGAAAAATATTGTCAAAACCATGGATTACCAAAGGTATTAGAACTTCAATACGAATAAAAAATAACCTCTTTTTTAATGCTGATTGGGAACATTATAAATTATACCGAAACAAAATAACTAGCCTAACGCGTCAAAGCAAGAAAAAATATTATGAACGTTATTTTGAAGAAAACATTAACAACTCTAAAGAAACGTGGAGAGGTATAAATGATATCATCTCAAGAAAGGCAAAACGTGATAAAAAGCCAATACACCACCTTGTTATAATTAACTCCAATTCGGAAACGATATACAACCCAAAGGAAATAAATAATTCTCTTAACACGTTTTTTGCAACTGTTAGACATAAGTTGGCTTCTTGTATCCCTTATTCGTCGCCAGATCATGATTTTAGTACTTTTTTAGATCCGCCAATACAAAGTTCTCTCTACTTTGACCCTTTTGTCCCTGCAGAAGTCGAAGATGAAATCAAAGTGCTGCCAAATAACAAAGCCTACGGAGTCTATTCATGCCCAGTCAGTATTTTGAAATTGTCCAGCCATATTATCTCTCAGCCCTTAGCTCAAATCTTTAATGTTTCAGTATTCTCACGCTCTTTCCCAGCTGAACTTAAAACGGCCAAAGTAGTTCCAGTTTTTAAATCAGGAGATGAATCTAAACCTGGAAACTATCGACCAATTTCTTTGTTATCAATTTTCAACAGAATATTTGAAAAGCTGGTTTATAAAAGACTTATTAAGTTTGTTAATAAACATAATATATTATATTCATCACAATATGGATTCCGCAGTAGGCATAGTACACAGCACGCAACTCTAGAAATCCTAAATGACATTCTTTCTAATTTTGATAAAGGCCAATTCACTTTTTGTTTATTTATTGACTTGAAAAAGGCTTTCGACACGGTTAATTATGATATTCTTCTCTCAAAACTCAAAAATTATGGCTTCAGAGGAGTGGTGAATGATTGGTTTAAGTGGTACTTAATTGGTCGTAAACAGTATACGACTGTAAATGGTTATATTTCTGATTCTCATCGAACCCTTTGTGGAGTACCACAAGGTTCCGTTTTGGGACCCTTGCTTTTTCTCTTCTATATTAATGATCTATATAAATCCTCAAATAAGCTTCAATTTTACTTGTTCGCCGATGATACTAGTTTAACTTATGCAAACGGAGATCTTAAAAAACTTGAAACTGAGATAAACGAAGAACTTTTCAAAGTATGCTTGTGGCTAGTTGTCAATAAATTAACCTTGAATATCGAAAAAACTAAGTATATCATCTTTCGTCCACGCCAAAAGACTATTCCTTTTCATCCTAATATCAAAATAATTAATAATAATTCAAATACCAGTCAACCGTTAGAAATCAAAAATTATATTAGATATCTTTGTATACTCATTGATTCGAGCCTTTCATGGAAATTTCACATAGATTACGTTTGTCAAAAAGTCAGTAAAACAATCGGAATTATCGCCAAGCTCAGACATTTTGTTCCCCGTCATGTACTTCTCACCTTATACCGTTCTTTAATTTTGCCTTATATCAGTTATGGTATCTGTGCGTGGGGTCATGCTGCTGAAACGCATCTTCATAAGCTACTGGTTCTCCAGAAGAGAGCCCTTAGGCTAATGTTCTTCGCTGAACCAAGAACTCATGCAGTTCCGTTGTTTTTAGAAACAAAACAGTTGCCGATATCGTTCTTGCTATTTGAGCAAATGAGCCTTTTAATGTACGACGTCCATAATAATCTCGCTCCTGATAACATTAAGAATATGTTCACGAAACTGTCTTCAGTCCACAGTTACCCGACTAGATCTGTTACTAATGAAAATTACTATGTTGAACAAGTTAGAACTGAAAATATGAATCTAGCCTTCTCTATTTCCGGTGCTTTAATTTGGAACAGTATTCCACTTTCTACGAAAACACTTTAAAAAAATCAATTCAAAAGCGAACTAAAGAGAAAACTCTTTGAAATACTGGAAAAAGAGGACGACTATATTAGAGTTTCTGATATTACAGGGCAATTCTCAAAATCGTAACATGGTGTGCTTCCGTATGGAGTACAGGCTGCCTTCCTGTCTCACTCTGGCTATAAACCACACGACAAACTAGATTGCTTCTAGGATTGTTCGTTTCACATATATATATATATATATATATATATATATATAAATAACCTATCACAAGCATCTTTTAGAAGACACTCCCTTCACAACTCAATAAATAGAGTACCACAAGTGAAGAGTAAAACAATATGTTTTTCGTCTCTCACCTATATATATATATATATATATTTATACAATTTTCCTTTTTCTCTTGTACCCGCCTCGGATAGCCTTCGCTAATTGCGGGCACAAGCTTTGTAAGCTATATTTAATTTGAAATAAACTTGTTGTTGTTGTTGTTGTTGTGTTGTTGTTGTTGTTGTTGTTTGTTGTTGTTGTTGTTGTAAAAGTCCATCTTGAACTAGTAACAGATAGAAGTACAGACACGTTTCTTATAGCGTTTCGACGATATGTTTCCTTGAGAGGAAATCCTAACAACTGCTGGTTCGACTGCGGAACAGATTTCATTGGAGTTCAACACTACCTGAAGGAACTTTTGAAAGACTGGGATATTCCTAGAATCCAGAGCGTTGTTTCGGAGGAATTTTTGTGTACTTTTCAGTGGAGTTGGAATGTTCCTCGCGCCAGTCACCAGAACAGAATTGTGGAGAGTTTCATCAAATCAGTACGACAAACGTTGGACGCTACGTCCAAAAACCAACCCCTCACAGAAGATCAGTGAAAAACCTATTTAGCAGAACTTACGTTCTTAATAAATCAGCGTCCTCTCTACCCAAGCTCAAACGAAATTTGGGAAAGTCCGCCTATCACGCCAAATGATCTTTCAATTGAAAATTATTTTCCACCTCCGATGAAAGAAGTGGAATCGAAAGTAAATCCAAGACACCTCACGAGTAGTACAGAGAAACGAGTGCAAGGGTTTTGAAATTGCTGGATGAAATATTTTGCTCCCAATCTGCTGCCAAGAAACAAGTGGTTCAGAAAGCGAGAAAATCTGAGAAAAGGAGATTTGGTCTTAGAAATCTAACCCTCTCCCAGGAGAACGTGGAAGATGGGGCTTGTACTCGAAACTTATCCCTGTGAAGATGGTCTTGTTAGAAAAGTAAAGATTAAAACAGCAACGTCAGTCTACGATCGACCAATTCACAAATTGTGTTTAATCGCGACAAAAGAAGAATTAAATAGCATGACTTAGTTATACAACCTGGTTAAAGCTAACTTATTTAGTGCAAAGAAACTAGTTGCTCAATCAATTACTTTAAGTAATTAGCTTTCCGCACCGGGGGGGAAGTGTTTTGCATTCCGCCCTATTAAGTGTTAAAGCGTGGTCATAATATAATAGCGCTTACAAGGTGGTGTTAATTAACTCCCACGACGACATTTTTTTAGTCTTAAGCGACCACGCGGCATTAGAGAAAAAGACTGAAGCCATCAAGGTAGAGCAGAATACGTAGGGGATAGGACACGCAATGCCTTCTGGATGATCCATCCGCCATTTTGTATTTGTTTTACTCGGAGAAAGCCCATATCATAATTGGATGCCACAAGCAGCCCAATAATAAAACTGTGTCGTATCCCAACAATCAATCAATCCAAAACCATTTAGGTTTTAAAAATGGTGTCGATTTGATACTAGGAAGGCCTAAGGATATTGGAAAATTCAGTATGGTCTCCTGAAAACTTTATCAAAAACCCTTAAGTTCTCTGTTGCTTGAGGCTTAAACACGACGCCTGCCAATTGAAATCAGTCAAACACGCCGGCGACACAGCATTAGTAGTGCAAGGAAAAATTAAATGGAGTCAAAATATTTGCAAGTTAGCATATGATCTGATATGAAAATGTCTGCTTACCGACTCTGCTCTCTCTCTCAGGTACTTACTGAGTAAAATGCAAAAAAATCCGTGGTTAGCCGGATGAATTAGAGCGTACCATGATTCAGCACGTACCAATTTGATACACACGACCTAACATGATCTCATTCGCTAGTTTACATTTAAAATAACGCTTTCTGAGTGTCTGAAGAGGAAAAAAACGACGTCCATTCAACAGCAATGACTCGCACAAAAGCACTAAAATTTCACAGAAAGGAATTTCAGTCGGCTGGTCAGTTTTGACTTACTGCACGCAAGTGAGGTGTAGCTGGTGGAAGCCAGTGTTTTTTTTTTCCTTAGTCGGGCTTCCTTATTGTTTCTAAATATTTTAAATCTTCATGTTCTTTCACTCCTACAATAGTTCGAACTTGTATCCGTTGCCAATTCGAATATTTTAACGAAATTAAACAGGTAAAGAGTAGTTCCGTTCCAATGTTTTAGCAAGAATTAGTAAGTGGTAAAACTTTCTATATCAGTTTGATAGCCTGATTTACGGTCATATGCACCAGTTTTATTTCTTTTGAGGACAGATAAATTTGTGCAAAACAGTGATGCAGAGAACGTCTTTGATTTCACGTTCGAATACACCATAACTGCCACTTGTTTGGGTTACATCGCTACCTAGTGTTACTTATTATCCACCTTCATTGTCGAAATGGTTAGTAATGTT